CTAATTAAAGTGTTTTTTATTTCGTTTTTTCTTTCTGTTATGTCTGTTATTGTACTCAGGGGCACAAGGGTCTTTTCCCTTGTTATTTCTGCCGCCCTATATATATATATTAAAATAAAGGCTGGCGCCGCCAGCACTGTTACATTGCAAAACCCTTCTTTCTTCCCTCCTCTCTTCTCTTCTTCTCCTCTTCTCTTCTCCTCTCTTCTTCTTATTTCTTGCCGGCCATACTGTCAAGAGTCTCCAAGTCATCAGAGCGGCGCCGAAGTGCGCCCAAGAGCATGCGAAGAAAGCTATACCACCTTGGTGTATAGGTTGGGCGCTAGCGCGCCTGTAGTTTTCTCGCTTGTTTCATCGCTTCCCCGCGCAACGACATTGTTTGTGCGCCCCTTACCGTTCTCGCTCAGTGTTTGCAACGGCTGGGAAGCCAGTCGTAGAAGCGAAGCCTATCGCCACGCCGACCATCAAATACGAGATTGGGCCCCTTCTCAAAGATTTGATGGAATGGCCCAGCCCAATCAATAAAGGAAGGTTATAGTACGCGATGCGTTCCATTTGTACGAATCGCGAACATACCACGCACGACCGGACGTAGAGCCACTAAGAGCTGGCAGACCGGGCTGGGCACAGGTGCCAGATCCGAAAAGACGAGTCTTGATCAGCCTAGTGCACCAACCATGTGGTATGATGAGCACTCAAAGACCTGGCAAATGATGGCCCACCCCACTCATGGCTGGAAACAATCCTTGTGGTTTTGATATATATATATATATATTTCAGTTTGTTGCTTATTATCCCTCTCTTGGTGGTTCCAACATGTTTATTCGGTAGATGTTCCTATAGGCTCTCTCTGTAAATTTATCTGAAGTGGGGTGACCTAAAAAATCATACTAAAGTATAGTAAACTAATTTAGGTGGTGGGGGGCATGTACTGTAACCCTGAGCCCTACTTACATCAAGAAAGAGAAAATGTACAAAGCCTGTGGAAGGGAGCATAAACCTTATCTCCACAATTACTAGCAAAGGGAAAATGAAAATTATTGATGAGAGATCACGATCACTCTGATACTTTGCAGTTTGAAGCTCACTTTCGTCCATCCTTGCATGAGCTATGATTTCACACTGGAAATTTTCATCCAAGGATAATAAAACTTGTTATTGAAGATCTGTTCCATTAGTTTGTCAATGTATCTACTACCACCTGGTTGCACTACTGGTAACTTTTAATATGTCCGAACTGAATTCCTCTGGCATCTGCTTGATGGAATGCCAGTAGTGCAACCAGGTGACCTTGGGGGGTGTACTGGGTTTCCATGTTTGCCAAATTGCTGCTGATAGAATTTGTGGTTAAGACTGAATACCAGATCTCTCCATTGTCAGAAGTCCACCATGTAGAGCTTGGATCTCAGCCAAAGATTTATCCTTGTACATGTGAGGTACACAAACAATTTTTGTACTTGTTGATTCATCTGTTGTGTTTTTCCTATCATTATTTTATTTATGAAGGAAAGGTCACTCAATCATGTCTTACATGATCTATTTCATGCTTCCCTTTCCTTTATATAAACCCGTGATGCCTGTGCCTGTCTTGCATTGTCTTATTTGAACTCCTAATTGAATCAGTGGCCATAGAAGAGCAATGGAATAAAATTCTTTGAACTCATTTGAAGGAACCTAGGAGTAGCTCAAATAGGGTGTTAAAATAAGGGAAAATATAGACTAAGATAGTTTTGTTGTGTGCAGATCTACAGCATCCATAAGCAGTTACAAGTTGAAGGGGCTAGAAGATCTAGGGGCAGACCAAAAGGGGCATGGGTTGAAGTAAAGAAACGATTTAAGGGCCAATAGTTTAATAATGGATATGGCATTGAACACAAAGAAACGGTGAAACAGGATTCATGTAGCCAATCCCATATAGTTGGGACAAAGATGATGATGATCTTTTAGGGCCTGAATCTCATTTTCTTTTCTTTTTTTCCCCAAATTTGAACTCCATTTTTTTCCATTTACTGTTCTAATTTGCAAGGTTGTGTCTTTCTCTAAGTTGGACAACTTTGGTCAACTTTTGACATGATATACTACTTGCAAAACTGGGACGACCATGCTGATTCTAATTTTTTATGTGAGTAATAAAAAATATTAAAAAAAATATTGATATATACGGATGTAGAAAGATGCAAAAAAGCAGTCTAAAGCTGTACATCTCATTACCATTTCTATTCTGTTTTGGATTTTATTCAGGTAAATGCTGCTGCTGAGGTTATATATGACCTTGTGGATCCAACTGCAAACCTAATATTTGGAGCAGTGATAGACCAGTCACTCAGTGGTCAAGTAAGTCGTTGATGGCAACCGTTGCCTGGAACTCCCTTTTCTTCTTGTAGTCTTGATTTCTCATCTAATGCAATCATGGTTTTGTGGGGTGAAATAGTATGATGATAATATGATTAGATGTTAGCTAGGATCTTTAGGTGTAAAATCAAGGTTATGTACATGCAAAGGGTTTTGGCACCTACTTGATGGTCCAGTTGGAAGATTCTTGTCACCTTAGTCAACATGGTTTGATGGTAGTAATAATCTGATATATAATATCCTCTAGATTGAGGATTGGAGATCCAGGTCCATTGGATGACCAATCATTCAACCATGAATCTGGCCTGTATTGTACTATTTATATTTGTGCATTTATGAAGGATAAGTAGGTGTTGTTTGGTTCACTGCCAGAAGCCCATTTTTGGCCATTTCTTGCTGATCAAGGGCAAGACATGGCTAAAGTGGTGTTTGCCAGGACCCTCTAGTCCATTTCTGTCTAAGATTGGGAAGGAATAAGGTCTATTTCTTGCCCAAATGCAGCTTGCCCAAAAATTGCTCTGCATTTCCACAAGAAATGATTCATGCGGAAATATTATAATATTCAAATATATTATAGTAAATGCAATATTATACTATGATATGATATAATATAAAAATATATTGTATAATATAATTTAATAGTTATGCACAGGAAAATTTGAAACTAAATAATAGAATGGAAGGAAAGTAATTCAGAGTAAAATAATAAATGCATAATTAATGTTAATTGTTAATTTAAGGTTAAGTAAACCATAGTTGTTCACGCAGGTCCGGACCGGTTCGGTCATTCCCTAAAATCCATTATTCATGAAAAGAACCGGCTGACGAGCCAGTTTAATTGGACCAGTGAACAGGTCCCAATTTTATAAAGCCATCCAGGTCACCACATGGATAGAAACTCCAAAATGGTAATGACAAGACTTGAACGCAAGACCTCTTATTTATGCGTATTGTCTTGTTAGCATTAATCCATCTCCTTTTTTGTGTTCATTTATGCCTCTTCAATGTATGCATTTCTTTACTACATATGTATTTTTAAACAAAATGTGAGTTGAGAGGCTTGAACCCTGGTCATTTGTTTTGAAAATCTATGAACTAGCCATCTATCCAGTATCCACCACATTCAAATGTAATAATGTTTGTAAAATATATATTATATATAGTATTTATGTGACCCACAATATATATATATATATATATTATGTTATGTCACCACAGTTCGATCTCCAGTTTGACCATGGATGAACCTCTCCTTTTTTGGGTTCTATTACCTGGTCTGGTTCTTTGAACATTGATTTTCACAGGCTGAAAACAGTGAAAACCCATTGTTCTTTGTCTTTTTCCCCCTTCATTTTCAGCAGTGGGTCCATGAAAGTTTTCTCTCAAAATTGTTTCTTTTTTTTTTTTTTTGAAAATAGATAGAATACTGGCCCCAATGAGTTGGCAACTTATTTCTGGTTTTTGAAAGTTTTTCTGACTTTTGAAACCAAGGAATATTACCTAAATTTCCACAATTTGAAATCAGAGTCTTGATGGCAAAATATGTTTTTACATTTTGTGACAGAAATTCATTGTAGTCCGTGGCAACAATGAAGAAAACAGGAAAAATACCAAAATGGCAAATACGCCTAAGATAACCAAATAATATGAATATAATCCTGTTGATGTAATGATGTTACTACACATTGATGGTTATTGTTGTCCATTATTTATTTATTATTTACATGCAATGCCTTTTAATGAGTTGAGAAACAGTTTTTACATTAGTTGACATTATGTAAAATTTGGTTTCCATTTCAAGCTTGAAATTTGTGTTACAGAATAAAAATTGGAGAATGTCTTTCTGTGTTGGATGTAAATATGACCTTGAGATACTTGGCATGCTTTTCATTCAGGTCAGCATAACTCTGATAGCTACTGGGTTCAAACGCCAAGATGAAAACGAAGGGAGGCCTCTTCAGGTCTCTTTCTCTCTCTCTCTCTCACACACACACGCGCGTGCGTGCGCACACACATGCAATAGTTCTGAGCTGTTTTGGATCTTGATGAAATGCAGGGAAGTCAGCTAGGATATGGAGATGTTGGTCGACGGCCTTCCTCCTTTACTGAAGGTGAGTCAGTGGAGATCCCTGAATTCCTAAAAAAGAAGGGGCGCTCACGTTATCCTAGGGCTTGAAAGAATTGTACCATATATCCTGTTTCCTGCCCCCCCCCCACCCCATCACTAACAGCGAGATCTACAGTGTATTGTTTAAAATTTGTCCCTTTCATCAGTCGGTAATAAAAAAAAATGCCGTGTTGGGTTGGCTTTAAGTTGGATACAAGAAAAATCTTGTGCAGTTCCTCAATATTTAATCAGTAAATCTCAATCTAGAGCTCAGCCTTTATTGTTTTTTGATGGCATCACTTTTTGGTAATTGTCAATCTCTTTATGTTTTCATGGGTTGCTGAAGTGTCATCAACGTGGCATTCTATTTCTATATTCAAGTGATCAATATTTTGTTGCAACCCATTTGTTGGATCTGGTAGAAACGATTAGTTTTCTATTTCCACAGTTGAATTGTTGCATCCATGAGGTGTTGTCAAGTCTGACATCGATTAGTTTTGAACTTTTGATTCAGTTCTCGTCAATTCATACCTGATTGCCATAATGCCTGTAGATACATATTTTGGTCCTGAAACACGGCCGGTAATTGTAGTCTGATGAAGCCATAATTTGCCAGCATCCAATGTTCAGAAAATCATGAGTCTTAACGGACCTGTCTAGTCTCTGGCTGCAACAGATTGGAATTGGGTATCCATGGATCCGAATTCGATCCTTAATATTCATATTTTAATTGAATTTTATCCATTGGATTTAGATTCGACTCGGATCCGATCTGTATATTCCATGCCATTCATAAATTATACTAAAAGAATGATCAGAATATTGAAAAAAAATTTAAGACATGAAGCTATGGTTGGTTCTTCGGCCCAAGAAAGGAAACCCCAACGCTGCAAATGATGCAGTTATTGATAAATAAAAAAATGGTGTCTTTGCGTAAACTTTTCTTTGACCTTTTGTTATGGTGGTTATGCATAAACTTGGAACTGGTTCTGATAATGGATGACAAATGGCAATAGCTACCACAATGATGTTTTGGGTCCTGGATTTTACTGATAAAACAATTGGCCCTATGCTTGTATGTAATTCCAATCACATTGAAGGTATCAAGGTGGAGTCCACACTATTATCAGGCTGCAAGAATCTTTTCCTCACATCCAGGTCTTGACTCTTGTGAAGTGAAAATTAATAACAAGCCACACAAAAATAAAGTGATAGATTGCTCTTTATTGCGAGCTTCAACTTTCTTCTTTTTAATAGATGCCATCATGTTTTGTGGCATGAATAGAAACATTTTTCTAGAGATCAATGAGTCAATTATAAGATATATACATGCCACATAGTTCTATAGGTGCTCAAATTTAAAGTTAATTCCACAAATAATAGAACAATACAGTTAAGATGATAGATCTTTCATTTTTTATTTTTTTTGTGATTATTTGATAGTTCTCAAAGTTCAAAATGAAAGCAAAAAGTGTTCTGAAACATTTCCAATAGTAAAGAATTTCTTTATTGTGCAGTATGAAAGATCAATACATACACGGACACCAGATAGATCTGTGACTAATTTCTGGAATAGGGAGGTAATCAGGTTCTATAGTTTTCTGCAATGTTTAGAGAACTGGGCCGGTATAGAACCAGAGAAGGGAGAGGTTCACGGGTCATAGGTTCAACTGGGGTCGGACCATGATGACGTGGCATATACATATACATATTACGGATCACATATAATATATTTTACAACTTTTAATGTACTTAAATATGATGGTTGGATGATAAACTTTTTAATTTTTAAAACAAATGGCTAGGGTTCAAGCCTTTTAACTTGCATTTTCTTTAAAATACGTGCATAATAATGCAATATGTATAATAAATAGCCATTAATTAGCATAAGTAAAGAGGTGAATTAGTGGTAATCTGTGAAAAAAAGAGGTTTGGTTTAAATCTTTGTTAACAACATTTTAAAATTTCACTTATGTATGGACCTGACAGTTTCATGAAACTGGGACTGGTTCATCGGTTTTCCGGTTAAACCATCCAGTCTGCCGGTTTTCAGCGGGTTTTGAGCATGTCCGGTTATTGGGGTGTGACCGAACCGGTCAAGGCCCTGGGTCACAGTTCGACTGGCCAGTCCGGTCCGATTTTCTAAACACTGGTTTTCTGAGATGTCAAATTAGATGTATGATGAAGGAATAAAAGAATCTAAGTTTGACAAAGTATCTGGAGAAAAGGGATACCAGATGGGAGTGGATAAAGTAAACTATATAAACTATATTGGACAAGGTAAAATCAATGAGCACCAAGCTTATTGGAAGAAAATAGAAACCGAAAAAAAAAAAGGAAATGGGGAGAAACAATTTGACTTACACTAGATAAGAACTCTCCACCTGATGAAAACAATCTAGCACTTGGTGGTTTAATCCACTATTACCAGAAATTTAATCACATTAAGGGCATTCTACTCCATTAGGAGGTTCAATTGATACTGATAATAAATTTTAATCCCTACTGTAATACTTTAGCTTGTTATCAGGCCATGTGTAATCCAATACTGCATGCTCCTATACACTCAACAAGCTGCCACCAGAATTGTACTTTTGGAGATCCCAAAAGATAACCCATTCATGCAGCCTCTGATTATCAGTTACATGTTGGGTTATACAACAAAAACCCGTATTTATGGAAGTCATTAGATAATCCATTCATGCAGCCTCTGATTGTCAGTTACATGTTGGGTTAGACAACAAAATCCGTACTTATAGAAGCCATTAGATAGCATAGACCCTAGGTCCATCCATTAAAAAAAGAACAGGTCTATACCACCAAATCCAATGAGCCAGCAACTTCACCAGTCTTCAAGCTCCTACCAGTAATCTCCGCAGGAACAAGATCCATCTATAAAATGGTGGAATCTAGTATTATCCCTGACAATAATCTTTCTTCCAACAACTTTAGAAATAAACTTGATGGCAGAATGGCAATCTGCACAGATCCTAATGTTTTTCTTTACAATGATAGGCTTCCCTGCAGGCATGCTTATTAATGCAAACGCAACAGCTATTCTCTCACTGTGATGATGGAGAAGCCTCTCTTTCATATGCTCTTCCATATCAAATGGAATAGAGCTTGTATCAGGAACATATCCAGCTTCTTGGATTTGATTGAGAAGATTCACAAGCTTCTCATAAATTTCTTTCATCTGAGGATGAGACCAGTCCTCTGCTCCAAACACATGAGTTTTATTACCAATATCAACCCAACTATAACCAGGCAACTTCTTCACCTTGCCACCCCTCATCATTTTTCTCACACTCCTGACATCTTCCCATTGCCCTGCTGCAGCATAGATGTTCGAAAGCAAGACATGAGTGCCACTGTTCTCGGGCTCAAGCTTCATCAGTTTCTCTGCAGCAAGCTCCCCCCTCTCCCTATCCCCATGTGTCCTGCAAGCCCCAAGGAAAGAACACCATCCAAATGCATTTGGCTCAAATGGCATGCTATTTATAAAATCCTCAGCTTCTTTGAGCCTTCCAGCACGACCAAGCAAATCAATAACACAGGAATAGTGTTCTTGCCTAGGTTTTATACCATAAGTTTTGTCCATGGAATGGAAGTAATAAAGACCTTCGTCTACCAACCCAGCATGGCTACAACCTGTCAAAAGACTAATGAATGTGATTTCATTTGGTTTAATTCCTCTGTAAACCATTGAACCAAAAATTCTAATAGCCTCCTGGCCTAAACCATGCTGAGCAAACACTCCCAACAATGAATTCCAAGCAATCTCAGTGGGGTGTGTGATCTCATCAAACACCTGAACTGAATAATCGAGCAGTCCACATTTTCCATACATATCTACAAGGACAGAAGAGACAAACGGGTCTTTCTCAAAATGGGTTTTTATCACTTGGGCATGAAGCYGAGTCCCTTGATCAAGTGCGGCTTGGCTAGAACATGCCTTAATCAAACTAGAGAAAGTGAACTCATTAGGCTCAATTCCCTGCTTCTTCAACTCAATAAAAATACTCAAAGCCTTGTCAGTTTGATTTGTCTCTACATATCCATCAATCAGAGAAGTACATGACACCACATTCATATGTTCTGAGTCAAGCCCAAACACAGATAAAGCACTTTCCATATCCCCTGCTTTGGAGTACATATCAGTAAGTGCATTCCCCACAAAAATCTCTGATTCAAATCCTAATTTCACTATAGATGAATGAAGAGACATCCCAATCTTGGAAGCCTTGAGAGCCCCACAAGAACCTAAGGTGCTACAAAAGACATGTTGGTCAATGGTAACCCCTTCGCCACTCATCTTCTTGAAAGATAACAAAGCTTCCTCAAAATTTCCATTCTTGGTATACCCATCAATCATCGCCGTCCATGAAACCTCATCTTTACATGGCATTTCATCAAAAACTCGGCAAGCATCGGCCAGAACCCCACACTTAGAATACATATCAGCAAGATTACTACCCACATATAATTCATTACAAAACCCCGATTTTACACTAAGAGAATGCAATTGTTTTCCAAATTCGATCAACCCCAACGAGGCAGAAGACTGAATTACACTCGAAAATGCAAACTGGGTCGGCTTCTCTCCTGCACCTCGCATTAGAACAAAGGTTCTCAGTGCTTCCAGAAATCTCCCATTCTGGGAAAAACCAGAAATCAAAGCAGTCCAAGAAACCAGGTTTCTTTGAGGCATCGTATCGAACAGGTTGAGAGCATAGCCAAGTTCTCCGCACTTCGCATACATGTTTAGGAGGTGATTGCTGACGAAGATGCATAATTGATTACCGGCACGAATTAGCCGAGCGTGAAGCTGTTTCCCTCTGCTTAGCTGTCTATTTTGTGCATAGGTCTGGATAACGTGCGCTAAGGCGAAAGAGTCCCCAAGCATGAAGAGCGAGGGAAGAAAACAACAGGAGGGAAAACAGCTTTCGAGCTGCAGGATTTGAAGAGTTGCACTTGGGCTATGGGAGAACCGAAAGAGAACCAACCAAATAGGAGAAAAAAAAATTGCCTACTTTATTCGTACTTTCCCAAGTTACAAAGTCCATCATTCACGGCCCAGGCCCATATGGGGTCGGCTACTTGATTATTTGAAGGTATGAGGAATTGCAACTATGAACTGACACAAGGGGTGAAAGGAAGAAAAAAAAAAAAAGAGATTGGCTAGACCCCGAAGGGCTGCTTATATGTATTAGGGCTGCAAGTCGGGCCGGGTTAAGTCGGGTTGAGGCCAACCCTATCCCAACCCTATGTCTTAAATCCCCAACCCTAACCCTAACCCTAACCCAACCCGACCTTCAACTCAACCTACCCAATTCTAACCCTAACCCTAACTAATTCTTTCAACCCTAACCCAACCCGATGTCAACTTCGGATTGGGTTGGGCCCAACTCAACTTTCTCATCCCTTAAAATCTAGTAGAAAATAAGTATTTATTTATCATGAGTTATGACTTATGATAAAAAAATTTCTCAAAAATATAAATTCATGAAATCAACAATAATGAAACATAAAATTATGGAAATAAAATCACTAACAACAACTCATAGGATCAAGCAAATAATTTGAATCTATTTGATAGATAACACATAAAAATTACAAGACAAAAGGAAAAGACAAGTAGTCAAGTACCTCTGGATAACTTAAAGAAAGGCATGATAGTATGTAGGAGAGCTATACAATTATCATGCATCTAAACAAATCAGTGTATATTATATGTATATGTGTATGTATATATATATATATGACATGTAGTAGAGTTGTAGACTAGTAGACTATTAGTCTACTACTATAGGGGGTCGGGTTCAAGAATTTCAACCCTAACCCTAACTTGATCATCAACCCGGCCCAAGTTGTAGCCCTAATATGTATCCATCCTCCGGTGAGGGATTAGGCCATTATAGTTTGTTAGTTCTGAATTTTCGATCAGAGAGAGAGAGAGAGAAGTTTATTAGAGATTTAGGGTTTCTTTCCCAATTCATGCAAAGAGGGTCCTCAGTCTATTAGGGTCCCATGTGAGCATAGGGCCCTATTTATAATGTTTTCACATTATGGGTTATTAGTGTGTGTTTTAGAACAATTTCAAGAATACGGTTTTTCTAAGTTGAACTGGGCTGGTTTGATTTGGGTTCAAGTTGGATTAAACGGGTCTATGGCCTTTTATAAATCCATTATCTTACACTCATTAAATTATGATCGGGTGAATTAGGATATGGCATTAACTAAAACGCAACAGAAAAACATGATTCATGTAGCCAACTCCATATATTTGAAACAATGTTTTCAAACCATCGTTGATCCGGACAGTTTGACTGTTAAACCGTTCGACCCGGAGAACGGTTTTCTATAAAGTTTTAAAGATTGAGAATTCTTAGATCTTAGACTAAGAAATCTCATATTTGCGCAGATCTATCTTTCTTACACGAGAAGGTGAGAGAGCTCTGGGATGTGTGAGATAGATCTGCGCGAGGCGGTGAGAGAGAGTGAGATCTGAGACTGAGAAATCTTAGATTTGCTACCATCACCGTCATTGTTGTCACTGTAATTCGTCATCGTTGTCACCGTTGCAAGCCTACAACCTACAAGTCCTCTTCTTCTTCTTCTAAACTATTTCAGTTCAGTCGACAGTTTTCTCAAATCTCTCTCATTCAAAATAACCCTTATTTTCTCTTATATAAGATGCATCTTACCCTAATATTCTAGTCTAATGGGTAAGATATTCAAACCATTCGAACCATTTGACCCAAACGGTCGAACCACTGACCCAAAAATCGGTGGCCAGAACGGTTCCGTTTCAGGGTCAATTTTTAAAACCTTGATTTAAAATAAGGCTTAGATGATGATGATGGATGGGTCAATTAGGGAGCTTCCATTTATGCATGACTTGGCTGTAATATTTCTGCCACGTGTAGGGGTGATGTGATAAATCCAAGCCATCTAAGAAATTGGGGACTCTTTCAATTGGTCATGTATTCAATCTTCTAGTCCATATTAGCAATGTAGGTACATTATGTGTGACATTTTATTAGTATATATTTTGTGCAAGTAATATTGGCCATTGGAGTTTCAAAGTTTTAATGTCAAATTTACCAGAATGGAGGGGTTCAAGGATTTATCCTTGGGATCAAATTTGAGCCATTAATAGAGGACTGGGGATATTTAGCCAAAAAAAAAGAGAGGATAGGAAGAAGAACGTGTGGGCTAATTTTGGGCCTCAAACCAATTTGCCATGTGAAATATATGTATATGTGTATAGGGGATTGTTCACCAATATGATATCATATTGAGCCATTAATAGAGGACTGGGGATATTTTGCCAAAAAAAAGAGAGGATAGGAAGAAGAACGTGTGGGCTAATTTTGGGCCTCAAACCAATTTGCCATGTGAAATATATGTATATGTGTATAGGGGATTGTTCACCAATATGATATCATATTATCACTTCAAAAGGAACCTCTCTTTCTCTCTCTTCCTCCTTTGAGGTTGATCCACTTCTAAACCCTTCACAGTTTTTTGTTCAAATTAAATAAAAAGACAAACACTAAAGGGGTGTTTGGACAATGTATTCACAATTTTTTGTTCAAAATAAAAAGACAAACACTAAAGAGGTGTTTGGCCAATGTAAATACTTTAAAAAAAAAAAACAAAAACAACTGCCACATCAATAAAAAGTAAAACAAATATGATTTACAGATGTAGCAGTTTTTTGAATAATTCTTCCAATTCGGAATTTGATCATACAATAAAGCATAGGTAAATATACAATACAGAAGTTTGCATGATACAGAAAATTGGGTATTGTAATGCTACTTGTATGATAATGGAATGCTGATTATGTGATAGTTAATTGTTGCGAGTACATATGATTGTAAGATGTTGGTAACCATCTAATTTGATAGATTTTTTTTTTCTAAGTATGATATTTTGATTATCTGGTGTCATAGTGTTGACACCTGATAGAAACCCATCAGGGGGCCCAAGAGAAATTAATAAAACTTTATCATGCATCTTCAAAGTAAACTTGTGAATTAGTGAAAACTCTGAATAAGTCTACATGAAACTAATCACATTAACTTGGTATAAGGCCAAAGGAATTTCATTTTTTCACCCCAGTTAAGGGAATTCAATAGAAACCAAGGCTATCTTTGGTTTGATAAAAAGTAAGAGAGAAGCAAAAACTTGAGTGAAAACTTTGTATTTATCTCTTATTTTTTTATCAGACTAAACATAGCTTAAGGGACAGGGCTGAAGGGTTGATGTGGACTTCAATCTAGATGGAGATGGAGTATGTGGTAGCAGAAGGACCTGGTCTGGACTACCCATCTAGAAGACATTTTCCTATTAGCATCAATGAGTTGGGTTCACAACTTCATATGAATTCAATGTGAAACGATCTTAGGGTAGCCTGAGTTTTGAGAAATAAAATACAAAAACAATGTCAATTTATGTAGGGCCCTCATTGTCTAATTATATTTATAATTGGTAGTGGTGGCCCAGACATCAAAACCAGTCTTTGTCTGTCCAGTAGTGCCAGATTTCTGATTATTATTATTATTATTATTATTATTATTATTATTATTATTATTATTATTATTATTATTATTATTATTATTATTATACAGTATAATAATTTTTCAATGCACACATAATGGGGTTTTCATATAATTTGACAAGTTTATCATTATTTTGTCAATTTAACACTTTTTTTATTTTAATTTTGGAAAGCTTTCCAAACAAAACTTTATTCACTCAAAGTTAGTTATATTTTGTTTCTGCAACCTTTACACAATCAATAAATTCTGTTTCCATTTAAAAACATAGGCCTTTTAGTTACCAATAATCCTAGTTAAATGACATCTTACTAGTTTAATTAACTCTTTAGTTTTTTGGTGCAAAATGAAACCTGAAAAAATAACTAATGTTGACAGTAGCTCAGGTGAACTTGAGTGATAATTTAGGCTTGAAAAAAATTGAGTGATCATTAAATGGGATATTTTCTTCCAACATTTTTATTCCTTTGTATAATGTCATTTTTTTTAAATGAAGCTAACAATTTTTTTTTTTAATTTTATATTTCAAAGTATTGTTGGCATATAAACATATAGATCTAATAATGATATTATATACCCATATTATTGTATATAATTCAAACTATATTATCTAATAATATACATAGAAATTCTCAAAAATTGTTTATTACTAGAGAATATTAAAAGCAATTCATAGGAATACATTTACTTCTAAAATACCACTTATGAGGAGTATGTGGGGGAGGACAAGTCTAGTGGCTGCAATAGACCCCCCAAAGGTACCCCACTTGTTTCCATATCTAGCCTCTTTATTTATGGACGAAATTTCAGCATAAAATTCCCTGCCACGTGTACAAAATAATAGGCCTTTTCAAATTAAAAAAAAAAACAAGGAACACTTCAAATGGCTGAAAAAGCTTCAGTAAACATATGGCTGATTATATGACTAATCAGGTGGACTTCATAAATGGGGTAGCTAAAGAGGACAATCTTCTAATCTGGATTGCTTGAGGATTTCCAATGTAACAGAAAGATGGGTTCCAATCCTATCACCATTAAACCAAATAGAATGGTGAAACAGGATCCATGAATAAGCTGACCCCATATAATTGAGATAAGGCTTGGAGATGATGATGATGATGATGATGGTCATATATAGGACAATGAATTAATGAAATTATCTTCAATGAATTTTTCTTGCTAAAAGAAAAAAAAAAGAAACTTCAATGAATTTGAATAGTAGAGAACAAAAGAGGGCTATGGGAAGTTTAACAATTAAAACTTGGACAATAATACAAAGATCAAATGGTTAAAACCACCATCTCATTTTTCTAGTAAATGGTGTAGACAATTTTTAACAAGGAAAACTTTTTGAGTCACCCTCTATTCATGAGGTAAATTTTAAGACAATAGTACCTTATTGTGTGAAAATTTAAAATATTAAAGCCTTCACTTATTTGGTAATTAATTACTTAAAATATTCCACAAAATAATAGTCCCCTATTATGTACATAGCTAGCAGACCAATATAAATCAATGTAACCAGATTTGAGGTCCCATATAATTAGAGGCTAAAGTAGAG